TGTTTTGCTGTGACTATATGGTATATTGTTGTGGAAAGTACGTCTGACGAAAAAGGTAAAGTGAAATATGGTATACGTGGCAGCTCCTCCTGTAGAAAGGTTCACCTCACATAAACCTTAGAAATAGAACCATTGTGATACTACATATTATATGATTAATAAATAAATAATTATGTATACATATGTATACATATACATATAGATACGTGAACTCTACCAAAAGAAACGAAACTCTACTGGAACCGGATACAACTTTGTCGCTTTAATAAAACAGGTAGTATCTTAAATGCTTATATTAGTGATATCAGTTAAACATTTCAGTAAGGAAGATTTTGAAGTGAATGTGCGCTAGCGAGTACCGAGCTAAAATTTCCTCTTCCTTCTCTGCCTCGCAACAATGACAGTAGCCTTTGAAGATCGTCCCTTATTAGTCGGCGACTGATTATGAGTCGTGAAAACAATATGAAAGTAAAAGCGAATAATAACACTTAAACTAGATGGCAGTAGAGTATAAACAATGGATTACTAATAAATATATATTAAAATAAATATATATTTCTCACGAAGGTTTTGAAGAAGTAAAAAAATGATTAAGTGTCATAACAAACAACTATTTGTAATGCACAAAACATCAATAAAATTACAAAAATTTCCGAAGTAACTAGAGAATGCCACCGAACCTTATCGAAAATGAAACTGCTATCGCGAAAAGTCTATTGAAACTTAACTGAAGATTCTATAAAAAATAATTTAAACACAGTCATTTTCTATTTTTTAGTTTAAGTTTACTGCATGCATGGTACTCCTTGGAGTACATCATCCTATTAATGTTGAACTTGTAAAGCAAGGATCAAGCCATAACTTCTGCGGCGCAGAGCCCAGAACACTATTGGGCTACAACATTACTGCAGACTTTGTCAATAAGTGAATAACTTCATTTTATCTTAATAAATAGAGAGAGATAAGCACTTATAGACAGACTAAACTCATAATGCCGAAACCTTTGGCCAGAGAAGCGATAAAAGTACTTAGCTATCCGCGAAGTACCCTAAAGTGGCTGATCTCATTGATTACTGGACATAAAAATTACAAATATCACCTCCAAAATATAACTCTTGCTGAGGAAGACACTTGTAGAATATGCCTAGAAGAAAAGGAGACAGCGGCGCATATATTGTGCCAATGTCCAGCACTGGCAAACAGTAGGAAGACTGTCTTGGGACACCATTAAGTTGGTGATGACTTGGCAGACAACCTCAAGCTAAATGAGCTTTTTATGCCTTGCTTATGATGTAGTTTGGATTAAGAATTGACATGGTTGCTTTGTTCAAGTCCATAAATGAGCCATTGACAGTCTTTTAGAATTTAGAATTATATTCCATCAATAATCTTCGATCATTAAGTCCATTTAGTTGCCCAATATTATGTTGATCACAATTTTATTAGCTTTTTTCTTCAGTCATTTATCAATATATAAAATAATCGCAGATAACTTTGCTTGATATACAGTTGAATGCTTGCCCTTAGGCTAAGTTCTATGAACTAAAGCTATCAGTATACCCGATCCAGTGTTTCCATCTTTAAGTTTAGATCCATTTAGGTTTTCTCCAATTTTAACGATTGTGAATACTGCTTTACAATTTCTTATATATATATATAAGAATTTGTATACATATATATACATTTATTACATTTATGTATATTTTTATATATATTATATATATATTTTCTTAGTTTTTGTTGACCTACCAGTACTTCTATATGTGTATATTTTTTTATACTTTGTACTTTCTTATAATTTCACATTTCTTTATATACTTTTCTTATTTATGTAATATATTATTTACAATAATCATTTTATACTACATATGCAATATCTTTTTTAATAGCTTTTAAGCACTTGAAATAGATACATATACACATCCCCCAATATTTTGTGTGTTTTGCAATCTATATTTTAAAAAGTTTTGAAGGACCTGAAGTTAGTTTCTTAAAGATTTTTAGATATCTTCCAATGTCTTATGTATTGTACATGTTTATTTGATTCACTATACAATAATTACATTTAAAATGCAAGACAAGAGTTTCACTGCATCCTAAAATTTACAAAATTTACAAATATCTGCAAAGCACGAAATTTTAGTCTAGGCTTTCTGGCAAGCAGCAAAAAAGTCCACAATAAAAATGTTGTGAAGAATAAACTTTCTTAAGAATTTGAACCGTAATGAAGAGAAAAAGCGATAAATTTCAAAAATCACTACAAAAGAAAAAAATTTAACTCTGTGAAATGTTAGTAAATTGCACTTCATTACAAAATCACAAAGGCAACTATTACATATTACAGTGCATTTTGTGCCAATGTATTCTACTGAAGAAGACACCAAAACCACAAAATATTTCTCATATCCGGATTCCTCAATTTGCATTCGAATAAGTTATTGTCTTTGATGAGAGAAAGAAAATAAAAAACCTTCCAAAAAACAAAAAAAAAAACAAAACAATTAACAGAATTTTAACAATAGATGTAAGTACAAGGAAAAAACAGAATATTTATATAAAAGGACTAACTTTTATCTCGAAAATAATACAGAAATCAGTTATTTGAATGAGAAAAAACATTCCGAAAAATTACTTAAGAAAATACTCACTTCGAAGTGCGTGCACATATGTCATTCAAGGAATTGTCAAACAAGCCAACAAACTTATACACTCTCTTCACACACAAGCATAGAATTGCGCACAATCAAGCACAATAAGAAAAAATTTAGGATATTCGAAGGAGTTGCGCTCGTATTCACACTCACACTCACAATCGTATTCGCATTTGTTGATATCTGCAACGGTTGCAATTCATTGTAGCATACTTTCTGGCGTACGTATCTTCAGTAACTACTTTAGTTACACAATGAGTGTCATCATGGCAGAAGGTTTTCAGTCTTCCGCTAAGAACAGTGGCACAATTCTACGTACAATGTATAGACAATTGTGGCACTGTGTGTGTGAGTGTGTGTGTGTGTGTGTGTATTTAAGTTCGTTTGCGTTGCCAGAATTTATGATGAGCCGCACTGTATGTGGATTTCTTTTTTCGCAAACGTATTAAACCCTTCAACGGGGGATTTTATATGAAGTTAGTTTTGCTGCCTTTTCCCTGCCACACCGCTGCCATCGATGCGCTGCTGATGTTGCCTAAGTCGCTCCCATTACTATTAGAGAAGCCCGGATATGAAATAAAAAAGCTATCAGCTGTTGAATGTTAAAAATTTTCGCAAACTAAATGGGGTAGCATAAGAAAATTTTAGAAAGAAAAAATTGCATGGAAATAAAAACAAAAAAAAAAGATAGCATAAATAGAAATAGAAAAATGTAGGAAAAGCTAAAATGAACTGAAAAAGGGTCAGCTTAAAGAGCAGTATAAAATTATTTCTTAAATGTCATGAAATTGCTTCAAAATTGTATTAGAACATTAGGGACATTTGAAAGGATTAAGTAGCTAAATTTAGTTAAACTGATTTAGGATAAAAGTGTATTAAGCAAAAAACATAATAAATTTGAAGTGATTTATGTTCCGTAAAAATATTGGAATACAAATAGATATATATCCGTTTAAGGTAATGAATGGATAATTATGTCAATTTTATTACTTCTCGTTTTGAATTTATTATGCGACACTTGAAATATTTATATTATTATTTATATTTTTTGTTTTTCGTGATTATATTTAATTTTAATACAACTGAATGTACTTATACAAATTTTATATATTGATCATTCTGTCATAAACGAAACCAATTTTAACCTCAGAAAAAAAATACTTTTCTCTCAAAACCGGAATGAATTTTAACCTCGTCACTTCAGATTCTGATGAAATTTTACTTAATCTTAGTCAATATTTAACATAGTCAATAATATCTACAACATCAAGAAGTTTAAGTCTCCATAATTTACAGTGCCTGGTATATTGGTCTAACAGGCAAATTTTCAAAACCCCATGGAGAACACATTTTTTTTTCGAGATAAAAGGTTTTTGTTGAACCAAGCAGCATTTTAAAAAAATTCATTCCTTTTGCAAAAAAAGTTATCCATATTTATTTTATAATGAAGTACTAATCTAATGATATTGGCACTTATAAGGAATTAATTTTGAATGACTTTCTGAATTTGCTTAAAGAGAAAGCAAACGCTTGTCGTTAAGTCAATTTATTATAATATGGTAATAAGGTATCTTTATAGTATGAATGGTGCGCAATTTTGCCTTAACATATTGTAATTTTATTACTATTAATTATTACATATTATATATATTATTATATCATATTGTTATATGTGTAGTATATTCCATAAGCAAAAATAACAATTATCAGAAAATTATCTTACAATTATCATCGTCCGTTGTTGTTGTTGTGATTTGAGTTAGTGCTATTGCACACTTTTACTCTTTTGTGGCCCTGCCACACACTAAAGTTTAATTATACTAGAATCATTATCATTTATTTATCTTCTAACTGATGACGGACCGTACATCAGCATATCTTCCTGTGCGTTCTGATGTGGACTTAAGGTTTGTTAGGGCGGAGTTGGGCAACGTATCAACTTTTGTGAATAATTTTGGGTCTCTGTCTTTGATATATTTTTTCACTGATTCGATCTCATTGCATGTCTGTTGTTCTAATATGCCAAAGAATCTTAATTGGTCTTCTTAAAGTCAGATTTTGTGGTATCTGTAATTGCTTTATGGCAGTATTTGAGGCTTTGCTGTATGTTACACATTCGCACAGTAGTACAGGCCTAATTATTTGAGTATATAATAACATTATATTTTTGAGTTTGAAGCGATTATTATTAAACACTATCATCGTGTTTTCCAACTAAGTAACTGAGATTCATTCACAACAAGTTTTCATTGATTATTTTTAAAAGAAATGTTTTTGTTTTATAATATATACATCATTTTTATCGACATACATTCATTGATAATCAGTTCAAATAAAACAAAAACTTCTTACATAAATAATTTAAAATTTTTTTTAAATTGTAGGAAACGTTTCCTAAAACTTAAGTCAGCAAAAGCTTAACATCTGTAAATCCAAAATGTATCTCTCTAAATCAGTTCCATATACCCCGGCTTCTCCAAATAATTGGAATGTTTTCCAGCTTCATGTGATATATGTGTTGGGCATTTCCGTGGCGTTGATGGTCTCATTGGCGGTTGTAAAGTATTTGGTAAGTTAAATTCCCTTTTTTATTCAATTAAAAATTTTATTTTAATTAATTTCAGCAATTTTTTTTCAATGATGGTGGTCAGAGGATTTCATTACAGCGGCCGGTTTCTGAGATCACTAATCCTGCAACTAATCCTTTTCGTTACGTGCTGCAACGCAATTTGACGCTTACCCATGGACACAGTGCAATGCCGTACAACTCTCTGGGTTTCTTTAGGAATATAACTGATATCCCTTGGTGTCGTTTAACTTGGAGGTATTACAGACGTGCTGAACAAATTCGATATTTTATCTAAATTCAAATTCTCAAGCTTTCAACGCAGTGTTGGTGTACTTTTTTTTTTTTTGAATTGACAGCGTCAATGCTTTTCAACACTTAAGTGTTAGCTGTGCTTATGTGTTTCTATTTTAGTTAAAATCATTTGTATATTAAGGCGAACAAAAAGTATATTTCGTACAATGTTTGAATAAAAAATCGCATTGTAATTTTAACTTAAGGTTTTTTTCATCACAATATTATAGCAACTCTTCATTGCTATAAAATATAGCAATTATTTGACATATGTAATACCTACATGTATATACTGATACCGACAAATTCTGTAAGTTACAAAGTGGAACTTCCCATCTCATCTGCAGATGACCTGCAATTGTCACGAAGTGACCAAAGTAACTTTATTCGGCTTTCATTAAACTAAATGTGGTTTAGAATCTGTAACCAAAAGATTTTGTTAGATTTATAAAAAACGTTCAACTGTTAAAATAAATTTATGATTCCCCCTCCGGTGTTTCATCGAAGATCTAATAGCTCGGAGTGTACCATTGTAATTTATAATAGAATTATATTACAATAAAAAAATAGATTATAGAAGCAATATAGTAAGAGTATTAGGTAGGCTGCTAAAAAAATCCACTTGAGCTCAAATAATAACTTGTTAAGGTACCACAGGAATAGCGTTAGTATGTACATAGGTAGAGAAAAAGTTCAGCATACGATAAACGCCATAAAAGGTAACGCTTTCTACATTACGTAAAGGTAAACTTATTTGACAGTTTTTTGAATTTGACTAAGTTCTCAATTTGCAGAATGACAGCTCGGTCAGGTCGACAAGAAAAACGGACTTAAACATTTTTGATCTTCTCCTAGCTAAAGTATGGTACTGACTTATGAGATAGAGCACATGCTTCTTCTCTTCCTTAGAGCCACAGCAGCGATAAAAGTCTTTAAAGTGTAGATGCAGTCTCACAGCATACCTCCCTATTATGTAGTGGGCCGTCAGCATAGATAACGTAGTGCTGATCTGGTGTCGCCTTAGTTTAAGTAGCTGACTAGTGAATTTTTTGTTCAAATTATACCAAGTATAGATATCTAAGAGCAAGGTTTGTTAGCATAATATTGCTTGGCTATGCTCAGGTAATTTGGTTTAATTGACTGTTAACCTGTAGTAAGTCGCAATAAGCGTAGTACTGTATCATAAATGTAGAAAAATAATAGCGTCACCAATCAAAAATTTCTTAACTTTAATATTAGTATATTATGTGGATACTGAAGAAACTGAGAATCTTTTTTTTTTTGTAACCTGAGAACCTGTGTTCTCATTCGGTTAAATAATTAAAGCTATAGTCAACATCCAACAGGCGTATATTGCCGGTTTCTAAATATTCTTAATGCAGATAACAACAAATGAATCAATATAATCATTTTTCTTACGAATGCAAAAAATACAAAAAGTTTTTCTTTATATCTTGCATTAGCAAACCTGCAATAGACGGCCAAATAGGTCATAGCTGTATATATAACATTTATTAACTTTTTTTTACACGCATTCTAGTTACATTAAGAAAGAAAATTGCAAATTTGATATGAAATTAGACTAGACTATAAATAACAATAACATAATTATGTAAATATGTAAATACTAAATTCAATTTTATAACGAGAGTTTTAAATACAAGAATTTTTATTAATAGGTCACTCATACGCAGTGAGTGACCGAATTTCTAAGATTTTTTTTTTGCACATGAATGTATTTCAACTTGGTTGAAAAATTTAAAAAAATTTTTAAAAAATTTTTGAATTTAAAATGAAATACAAAACCAACAATAACAACAACAATAGTAAGATGACAATGAACGATGAAGCAATCATAATAACATCATCATAAGTATGATAATTCCTCGGAACTCGCTTCTAATACAGATATTTCATTTAAAGTTTCTCTATAAGTCGCCAAAACTTTGCCTACGTGCTCGGAAATTCAAAATTTTTGCACATTTAAAATGCAGATGATGCGTATTTTTTTTTAGTTTATTTTATATTTTTTTTTGTTTTTTGTTTTTTTGTTTTTGGTTTTGTTTTTTCATATTTCTTCTGGAAGCAAAGAAACGGAAACAATTGTGAACAGGAAGTTCTTATATTCATATTACTTTTGGCAAATGCTCGCATTCTATATTGTAAAATATTTGGTCTGTGTTGTTTTATTTCGCAGTTTGTTTGCTTTTCAGCTTAAAAAAGTGGAAAATAAATAAATAAATAAATAAATAAAAAATCGACTTAATAAAACAAATCGCAAATCGCAAATCGCAAACCGCAAAACACAAACAGTTTAGAATAAGACAAATTGATGTATGGACAGACAGCAGAAATGGTGCAACTGCGAAAGACTGCGGCACCAAAACGGTTATGCGACAAACAGACAGACATAGATTTGCACACATACGATACGAGCAAATTTTACCGCATATTCTCATGTGTAAAACAAATCGCATCAGCTACCATATAAAAAAAATATACTATAAAGTATTATTGCAAAATAAAATAAAATAAAATAAAAGTAATAACAATAAAAGAAATAAAAGAGTAAATAAGTATGGTGAAGTCACAACCCGTACGTACTTAAAAATTTCCATATTTTTGTCTACAAGCAGAGACATACACGACCGTTTTCCCGTTTTGTAGGAAGAAGAAAGGACAAATTTTAGTTTGTTTGGTTGTCTGGCAAATCAAAGGGAAAACACAAAAATCACACTTAAAAGCTACAAAAAAAGGTCACCAATGCCACGCAAATCCAAAAAAAAAAACAAAAAAAAATTTAAAGCAAAAACGAAAAATCGTCTAAGAAGGGTTAAAAATTCTATACGATTTTACACGTACAGAAGCGCACAAATATAAATTACACTTGCTTACATGCATTCATACTCACTCTCACATGTATACACACAAGCATACACAATGACACCGTTCGGTACTAACAAAGTCACATGTTACGTGCTGTCGAAGCTGCATTTGTAACTGATTTAGACTTCATTGTGTTTCCTTCGTCCTTGATTTTTGCATTTTTTTTAAATAATTTTATTTTTATATTCTTCATTGCTCGTCGCTAAAATCTTCTTGTTTGTTAAGTTCCGAGAGCAAACAATTCTTGTCCTATTCTTTGTAGAATTTCTACGAATTCAACTGCTTACACAGGTGACTTGAAGGGTTCCTTTTATCTTCCTATCTTCCTTTATTAAATTCGATTAACAGCACTTACAGTAAAACCACATCTAAAAGGAGTAGCTCCCTCACTCCCTCACTCCCTCATAGCAAATACCACTTGTGTGTGTGCTCCTACGCGTAAAATACAAGAAAAGCAATTGCTGCAGTTGGGCCAATGGGGAAACTTATTATTTGATCATTCGTTTTACTATTGTGCACACGTTTTCCAAATGGTTCAATTACAAATACACGGCTGCACATATCTGCTCCACAACACAATTTCTATTGCTAGAAATATGTTGTAGCACACGGTGCTACAACATTGAGTCATTTAATTGGGTTTCCAACAGCAAATTTAAAGATTTAAAAGATGTACACGAATGTCTGATAGATGACTTCTTAGAGCTTTTAAGTATATTTCATGAATAGTCTTACACCTCGAAAACTGTTTCTAAAAGCATTGTTGATTTTATTCGAACCTACGCCGTATGACGCCCAACCTCACGAAATAGTTGCTAAAAATAACAGTCATATAACCGAAGCTAAAACTATTAACTGATTCTTTAGTACCGCGTAACATCGATTTTCTAGACAGATCGATTAAATACCGGATAGTACTAGTGCCAGTGCCAGGTCAGTGGCAGATATTGTTCCGCTGACCCCATTCAATGATTTTTGTGGACAAAACGATTTAACAACGGATTGTTCTAAAATCAGTTGGTTGGTAGTATGAGTACAGTGGCAAGGCAGTGGCAGATATCGTTCCGCTGACACCATTTAACGATTTTTCGACGTTTTATTAATGCATTCCTTGTAAGAAACCTAAAGACATCAAAACCTTTAAATACAAAAACTGAATTCATCCCATTAAATTTAGATAATTGAACAGATCTTTCGTACTTGACAACGAACAGGCTGACAAACCCCCAAAAAGTATTGAAGTATTTTCTTGAAAACCTATTTTTCTCTATAAACTTGAGCTAGGAATTTTCTCTATTAATGCAGAACTCTGTTTCAGTTTCCAATAAGTTCCAAAACTTCTACAGTGAGTATAAAAAAGAAGCCGCAATATTCTTTAATTGATAATGAGCAATTATAAAAAAGTAGTCTGCAATTGTCGATTATTATTTTTTTAACTCTCGATTTCATCTGTGGTCAGTAGCCATTAGTGGTCATTAGAGCTTATATATATAAAGCGAAAAAATGTGAAGTTCGGCAACGTGATAATTGAGCTACTCGTATAATCTCAAAATTCCATTATACTTTTAGCAAAAAATCTATATGAATAGTGACATGTCACTTAAACCAAATCCCATAGATTTACTTTACTGTTCTCACTATATATATAAGCTTATCATGCAAATAATAGTGCAATTTATATATTCTTCTCATATCAATTGCAAAAAACGAGGCAGCTATGACAATATCGCACATCAAATACGATATAAAGTACTTAAGTGGCCACTCGGAGTAGACAGTCGCCAATGCAACCACGAACAAAAACCTTCAAGATTTACAACTATTTGGCGGTTTGCATTTGAAAGGTTCATGCAGGCTATACCGGCAATCCTAAAGAACCAATTCAACCTACTGGCCCATTGTGTTTCCGTAGGAGAACTCAGAGCATTTAAAACCAACTTGAACCTTTGACAAAGTCTACAATGGTCTTTAGAAGGAAGTTCTGGAGTTGGCCAAGAGGCTCAAAAAATTAAGCCCCTTATGTGTTTAATCGGTGATGCAGTTACACTCGGCAGTAACAAAACAAATGTTAGGCACTTTCATCGTCCTCTCTAAAACTGCGATAGGTATGACTAAACAGGAGATTCAATCTTCTAGTATGGTTCAAATCGGTGTGATCCGTCAACAAACGTACCACAAACCTATCACAGATATACTTACTGTGATACCTTGAGACAAAAATATTTGAAAAAACAAGATGCTGTCAACTACTAAAATCTACTTAAAAACCAACAATTATCTTAGAAACTAGTTAAGAAGTCTAGTTATCACTTTG